AAGGCTCTGCCAATTTTCAGTTTAAGAAAAAACCAGCCGATAAGTTTTGAAGCTTGAGTCATGAACAATAAAACTTAAATTTTTTAGAATGATATAATTTTTTTTTTTTTGTTTTAGTATTTTGAAGTTGACCAATTGTTTACTATAAGCAATTAATGATTATAGATGATCTGCACCGTATAAAAAATTGTAATTGTAAATCTACGCCAAATTTCTTTTAAGGGATAATAAAATTCTTCTCGATATAATAATAATGAGATTTCTTAACGGATTTTTGGAAAATACTAATTATTGCTAAACCGAGACTCACTATGTATGTATATCTGGTATAAATTCCTTTTCAACCAAAAAAAAACAGGAGACCCTTTAGGAACAACGGCTGTTTATCATACGAAAATAAATATTAATCATTGTTCAAATATCTGAAAATTGGAAATTTCGATACAAGGAAAATTTCTGTTGAACCAAAGAATGACAATCAGATTTCACATCAACCGTATAGATATTTCAATAAACTCTTTTGATTTTTATAAAGATATTTTAATTTGATATTATTTTTAAATTGTTTATATTATTAGTAATAATAACAATTATTATTATTACATTCATTGGTTGTATTAGGTGGTGAAATTGAATGAATGAAATTTGATACCAAAGGAATCCAGATTGTTTATTTGACTTATAAACTAAAAACAGAAGGTTATAATTTTAATTTAATAATATATAATATATGATGATACACATATGTTGAATTTCAGACATATTAACTGAAGCTAAACCATGAATTGCTTATGAAATCATTGAACTTTACAAGCAGCTGATAGTGAAATCAATAATAAAGGAAATAGATTGTTAGAATTGTAAGATACCAATGTTAATATATGTAGATTTTCGTATCCAAAACAAAATATAAATTTTATTAATAAATTTTTTATTTTATTTTTTATTTTTTGTATAGAAGGAATTATACGTAAAGGATGGTCAATAGTTATTTGTTCAAATTTAAAATAATAAAAAAGTAAACCAACTTAAAAAAATTTATACAAAGCATGAAAATATTGAAAAAATGAAATCTAACGTGCTTAGTTGTCACTATTTATACATGTTGACAGTATCTTAATCTTCATTATTGTTGAGAGTAATCTTTCTGCCCTTAAAAAATCACATATTTATAAGTAATAAATGTTTCAAAATTTGAAAATTCAATTATTATTATTCAATTTAAAATAATTAAGACTGACGAATTAACCTATTTTTACAACAATAGGAATACTCTACTTGCTTCTAGGCATTCATGATAAAATGTCAATTCGCATTAATGGAAAAAACTGCCAAGATAACCTCATTTTTTCTACTAATAAACATTGTAGCTTTGACAAAATTACATATAAGATAGCCTTTTATTTTTCGCTTCAACCACGAAATTGAGGAGGATCTTTTGTTAGGGAGGAATAATTTAAATTAGATTCGTCACAGTACACGAAATTGATGACTGACTGAAGTTTTAATATTTTATACAATGTAAAGAATGAGTGACATTATTGACAATACTGATAGTACCCATTACTGATCTTATGGCCTAAGAGCTCGATCAACAAATCCAGAGCGTAAAGAAGATAGTTTGAAAAGAAGAAACCCCGGTGATAATAATAATAACAATGATACTTTTTTCTCGTTCTTAATTAATTTTCTCATAGTTCCATTCTCCTTTGATGATGATGCTACTACCATCCATCATTCCTGAAGTAAAATAAACAATAATTGAAAGAATCGAGATTTTAAGAGCTTGAAAAAATTTTTTTTTTATTTTTTTTATTCTAATTAATATTTTCCCTAAATTATTTATTTTCCTGAAAAATAATAATAATTATCATCAATAATGACAAACTATTGTTAATGTTAATATCGTTATTGTTGTTATTGTTGTTATTGTTGTTATTCGTAGTAAGCAACAACAACAAAAAAAATCAACTATTATTAATCGTCAAAATTGAATTTTATGGAATGTGATTCTTTATCTATTTTACCACCACGATATGATCCTTTTTTCTTTTTTGTTTTTTGTGCTCTAAAATTTTTTCCGCGAACTTTGATAAGATCTTTATGAGCCTTTTCACCATATGAACCAATCGCACCTCTCTAAAAAATAAACAAATTTATTATCAATTAATTTATCTATTCTTTTTCTTTTTAAATAAGGGTAAAAAATTAAATTTGATTGATTACCTTTGCTAAGAAACTATTGTCTTTTAATCGGTCGTCAAGAAACTCGACTTCATCTGTATTGATTCGACGATTATATTTCACTGCATTGCCTTCTCCCTTATCTTTACCTTGCTAATTATACCCAAAAAGAATTGTTCATTTCAAAATTTTTAACTCAAAAAAATCTATTAATTTATCAATTGATAATAGTTTACCTTTGATGTTTTCTTTTTACTTTTCATATTTTGTTGTTTAAATAGAGAAATGAATTTTTTAATATTTATACAACTACAACCATAAAAAACCAAAATTTTCTATATATCTGATAATCGATTTGAATTTTGGTTGGTTGGTCACAAAAATCCGTCAAATGATATACAAAAATAAAGATTCTTTATTAATAATTTATATAATCTACAGAAAGAAGGAAAGAAAGAGAGAAATAATACTTTTTTAACGTGTATATATTAAATACCAACAAATAATAATAATAATAAAATAATTCTATAAATAATTATACATTTTATGTGTATATATATATATATATATATATTATATATACATTTAATTTATTCTATTAAAATTCTGAAAACGAATTGTAAAGAGGATGCGGTAATTCTGCAGTAGTAATGCAATCTTGTTTTTTTGTATTGATAGTAGTAGTATTAATTGGTGATCGCTTTGTTTTTGAGAAATTTGATGTTGATGTTGTTAATGATGGTGATGTTGTTAACGATGGTGATGTTGTTAACGATGGTGATGTTGCTAACGATGGTGATGTTGCTAACGATGGTGATGTTGCTAACGATGGTGATGTTGCTAACGATTGTGATGTTGCTAACGATGGTGATGTTGTTAACAATGGTGATGTTGCTAACGATGGTGATGTTGTTAACGATGGTGATGCTAAGGGCGAAGATGACGTAGATTTTAAAGGTGATGAAGAAAAAATTGATGATAGCTCTTTATTGTTATGTTTATCATACTTCCCATTATTATTATCGTTATCATTATTACTATTATTAGATTTGTCATCATTATTATTAATGTTGTTGTTTGAAGATGATGATAAATCTAAACTGACTCTTGCTGCCACACTTTTCATATTATTAATTGTAAACCTTGCAAAATTCTTAATCTCTTCTCCAAAATCAATACCATTACTATTACTATTATTACCATTATTATCATTCGATTTGTCCTCTCTTTCAAAATTTATAAATCTGCTACTTCCACCACCGTTATTATCATCATCAACATTAATTGGTGAAGAAACCAAGTTATCATTATTTTCTTCTTTCTTTAAATTTCCATTGAGAAATAACCTTGTTGTTATCATTGTTGACAAATCATTACTTTTCCATCTACTTGATAAATCAAACGATTCTAATTGCTTTTCATTACTATTACTAACATGATTACTATCATCATCATTATTATTGTAAATATTATTAGTGTTATTATTTATTTTAATACTGTCATTTCTATTAACAGCTATACTATTATTTCCACTAATATCGTTAATACTATTAATATTGGTATTATCACCAGTACTATTACTGTCACAGTTACTATTACTATTATTGTTATTACCGCCATTAGAATTAATACTACTATTGTCATCGTTACTATTATTGTTGTAAAAATTAACACATTCAGTACTTCCATTTAATTCTTCATCTTTTTTATTAAATAATCCAGCCCAATACACAACATTCTTAATATCTGGTATTAATACTCCCATATCTATTCCATTAAATCTTTCTTTCTCTCCATTTTCTCCACTAAAATCTCTATTATATAAAGGATTTATGAATTGTTCTCTATCTGAATTAAAATAATCCCACACACTATAAGTTTTTTTGGCTACATTATAATCTTTTCTTTCTTTCTCTGAATTAAACAAAAATGTACCAAATTGACACGAATAACAATGGCAATGTAATTCTATAAGAAACTTTTCATTAAATTCAAATCTTGTTGGAAATTGTTTATAAAGTTGATAGACACAATCTAGGAATTGATGAAAGACTGGAGATATCTCTCTTTGATGTGTTTGTTTATAATAAAATCGATTCAGCGCTGAATTCGCTACTGAGTTAATGAAAAATTTCTCATTACTCAAATGCCCCGATCTATCGCTAAACTTGTGTCCAAATGAAACCCACTCCTTTTCTATTAAAACTTGAAATCCTATAAATGTACGATAATATGGATCTAAGGATAATTCTGATATCGAAGTCAATTGTGCTGTACGATCTGATTACTATCATCATCATTATTATTGTAAATATTATTAGTGTTATTATTTATTTTAATACTGTCATTTCTATTAACAGCTATACTATTATTTCCACTAATATCGTTAATACTATTAATATTGGTATTATCACCAGTACTATTACTGTCACAGTTACTATTACTATTATTGTTATTACCGCCATTAGAATTAATACTACTATTGTCATCGTTACTATTATTGTTGTAAAAATTAACACATTCAGTACTTCCATTTAATTCTTCATCTTTTTTATTAAATAATCCAGCCCAATACACAACATTCTTAATATCTGGTATTAATACTCCCATATCTATTCCATTAAATCTTTCTTTCTCTCCATTTTCTCCACTAAAATCTCTATTATATAAAGGATTTATGAATTGTTCTCTATCTGAATTAAAATAATCCCACACACTATAAGTTTTTTTGGCTACATTATAATCTTTTCTTTCTTTCTCTGAATTAAACAAAAATGTACCAAATTGACACGAATAACAATGGCAATGTAATTCTATAAGAAACTTTTCATTAAATTCAAATCTTGTTGGAAATTGTTTATAAAGTTGATAGACACAATCTAGGAATTGATGAAAGACTGGAGATATCTCTCTTTGATGTGTTTGTTTATAATAAAATCGATTCAGCGCTGAATTCGCTACTGAGTTAATGAAAAATTTCTCATTACTCAAATGCCCCGATCTATCGCTAAACTTGTGTCCAAATGAAACCCACTCCTTTTCTATTAAAACTTGAAATCCTATAAATGTACGATAATATGGATCTAAGGATAATTCTGATATCGAAGTCAATTGTGCTGTACGATCCCATCCATCTGAACAATGTACAAGTACGTGTGAATTATATACATGAACATTTTTTATAATCTTAACTGCTGCATACAATAATGAACTTATATGTTTAAGCCAATTAGATCTATCTAGGTGTTGTTTTTTAATTGGTGATCCACTTGCTTCGGCTGATTGAATTACTATGTTTATATAAATGAAATATTAAGTAAATATTTTAAATATTTTAGATGTTATTGTTTTATTCCAATAATAATCACCAGCATCACTGTTATTATTTACCTTCAACCAATTTTCCCAAGCTATCTCTCATAACATGAATATTATCTATTCCCATATAACATTTAGTACAATTTTTATAATTTTCAATATTTTCTGATCCTGCTCCCATAACTCCATTTGCCATTGCATTAGCTGTTGGTCTGGCATCTACAATTAAATTGGTTGATGTTGAGCCATAAATTTGTCTTCCATTACTTGAAGTTGGTAAGTTTGATTGAAATATGGCTTCAATAAGCTTTTCATCTTGTATGGATCTATTTTGTTTAAGCCCAACCATCGGTTGACTTGATCTAGTTATCGAGGCCTAAAATCAATCAATCAATCAATTAATAATTATAAATAAATAAATATATACCTCCTTTCCCTTTAAATTATGTTCTCAAAAAAAGAAGTTAAAAAAAAAACCTTATTTGACCAATGTAGATAACTTAAAGTTGGTACACGTGATTTACTACGAAATCTTGTAGCATATCCTAAAACAGTATCACTAATTTTAGATGGGAATACTAATAAATGTGGATATGTTGGACAAAAGTCATATTTTTTATTAATGTGAGAAAATCTCCATGAACGAGTCAATCCCATTCTAGCAAATTCTTTTGAAGGATCGTATAAACTCCACCCATCATTACAAATAAATTCTTTTTCAGGTTTATAATCAAACGCATATACTTGACTAATAGAGCCTTCTCCAATATTGAATATAATATAATATAATTAGTTAATTAAAAAACCTTTATATGATCATATACAACTTAATTTTATACTTACTGATACATGTTAATTTTTGTATAGTGTCAAAAACATCGATTGCATCTTGCTCAAATGTCAAATATAATGTAAAAAATACAAAATTACGACATCGAATGATCAGAGGCCAAAGTTTAGGCTCTGAATTTGTAGGAGGTCTACATTCAACTGTGTGAATTATTGGATAAACAATCTATTGGTAGAGTCAATTGTACACATATTATTAATTTTTGATCGATGAATGAATTTTATTTTTATTAAAGTACTTACAAACAAGAGTTCTTCAACATTTTCAGGAAATTCAAAGATCAATTGATAAGTGGTTAAATGAAGTGTGCCAACCACATTTGTTTGACCTTTATCAAGTTTAACATTTTCAACCTGAAACCAATAAAATTTGCGTACAGTAATATATTTATACATATATAGACCATATAGCCAATTTTTCCAAGTTAAAACACTGATTAATAAATTTTGAATTATGCATTATATTTCAAAAAAAAAACCTTCTCACAAGAGTGGATAAAAAACTCACTTTTGCGATCTTTATAGAATCCATTTTTTTCTTTATTGATGTGATTTTCGTTTCGTTTACAGAAAAGTGTGCAAAGGTGGATTTACCTTTGCTCAATACTTTAAAAACTAATTTCTTTAATGTTCGCTTTAATCAATAAATAACTTTTCTGGAGGTATTTAACCTATAATAAATAAATTAAATGTTTTTTTTTTAAGACTAAACTATTTATATAACAATTCCATGAAAATTTTTTTTCTTTACAAATTGTAAGTTATAAGCAATGACATAAATGAATTCAAGTTGTGAGACAAGTTTTCATTTACCTAAAACGGTTTATAATGTAATGCAACTGGCTGCAGTGTTACCAGTCGAAAAAAATGAATCATCAACATAAAGTATTATTATTATATAAAAAAATTTTAAAAGAATCCTCACAATTTTTTGATGAACAAGCAAAGTAAATAGTTTTTAAATTTTCAATTAACATTTTTAAAAATACCAATCATAATAAAATTTATTATCATTATATAAAAAGATTATTTCTTAAAGAACGCACAAGAAAAAGATTTAAAGATTGTAAAGATGAAACTGATGAAAATAGAATTTCAATGCATATAACTAATGCTCGGAAGGTTTTTTAACTCTTCATTTATGCCTATTATATATAAAAAACAATACATAATATAATTATAATTAATATATATATATATATATATATATAGTGTTTATATCAATTACAAAGAGCAAATGTTTTTGATTTAAAATCGGTCATGCGAATTTTAGAATTTACATATGGATTAAGAGGCCCAAAAAGACATGAATTATTAAAGGTTAGAACATATCAAAAAGAAAACCAAAAACCAGATTAAATTTTAAATATAGTAAAAACTAAAACATAAAATCAAAATCAAAAAAAAATAGCCAATAATAAATGTTCCAAGTCCTGAACCTAAACCATTTATTTCATCAGTTCCACGTACAGCACCCCCACGTATCTCACCACCATTAGAAGCTTTATTAAATTCACAAGTTAAATCTTTATATCCACCTTTACCACAACCAAAACATAAACCATTGCATCCACGTAGAAAAGCAAATATTTTATGGTGGCATCATTCTAGAATTATGAAGAATGTTTCACCACCAGTTAGTCAAGATGTTTTAAATGAACTAGAATTAAAAGCTGGAAAAAACAAATTAACACAATATGGTTTATCTAAAGTAAACAAAGATGCAATATTAAAATCAACAGAAAAAGATGATCAATTAAAATTACCTCCAAGTTTTGAATTTATCAGAGAAAGATCACCATCAAAAAGATTTAAAGATCCACCATACCATACAGCTAAACCACACAGACCCAGACCAAGATTTATAAGAAGAATTTATCAAAGACTTTTAAGCAATATACCCATTTTAACTTTGAAGGAATCTGCAGAACCAAATTCAGATGATGACCAAAAGGAAAATTATGGTTCATCTCTTAAAGCAAAAGATTTTATTGTCACAAAATCGGTTTGGGCTAATGGGAGACCAAAACCTTTAATAAATGATAAAGATTGGCAAGGATTAGATCCAGAAGAAATTACAAAAAATTTAAAAGGAAAAAGGAAGAATTGATGATAAAATTATGTTGTGGTTGTAAATTTTATGTATTATGATATAATTGTTTGCAAAAATCAAGGATTCTTTTCTAAAAGAAGTCATATATTAAAGATGTCTACCCAGATCTCTAAGGTTCACAAAATAAATTATTTTTCCTGATTATCAATTGTAGTTCTTTATGGATAATAAATATCACGTTGATTGCAGATGTCAGATTTAATTAAATTTTCCTGTCACAAACATGTGGTTGAGTGCTCTTAACATACTCCATAACTATGGATTTTTTACTACAGGTGAAGGTCCCCAATGTTGGAAGGCTTTGGACAAAACTTCCCTCATCTTCCTCTCAGACCAGACTTGGCTGTTACCATATGGGCTAAAGACGGCTCCTCAATTAATTGCAACTAATTGCAGTATATAAAAATTGAATTGTGGTTGCGATTGTGGCATATGAAAATTAAATTGCAGTTCCGATCTTTAATATGGGCATTGATTGTTGATAGCTGGTGTTTGTGTGATACTTGCTTTGTGTTATAGCCCTCTCACTAAAATAAAGTTTGTGTCTGCAACTGACTGAAAGTTCTGCAATTCAGGAGGTTGCAATCTGGGTTGCTATTTTGGATTTTCCTTGAATTCAGAGTTGAGTCCTGGGTTGCTGCTGTCTTGTCAGTGACATGCCTAGTCATCAACAACCCTACCTCCATTTATAGCATACCAAATAAATCTGAATCATTTTATTTACAGCTTTCTCCTTGATGCCAGTGATCATGGTGACTCTCGCAATAGGAGTGGGCAGAATCGAACTGAAATATTTATACTTGTGAGATACATGCTCTCATTGAGCTACACTCTTTTATCCAAGGGTGGATTATATGGGCAAAAGCCCCCATTTAAAAAATAACAAGTTAAGTTGGTCAAATAAAAATCAAAAGAAACAGAAAATTTATGGGAATGATTAATTTTATAACATAACATACCAAAATCCAAACCATTTTATCCCTTTTTATTGTTGTCCATATTGCTGACAAAAATATATATAATCATGCGATAATTTTAATCTATAGGACAGGTATTGATTGGGCAAAAACCCCACCCAAAATTATAAATTGGTTAGTATCAAAAAAACAGAGAATTTATGAAAATGATTATACAAAACAAACACTATTTTACAACTTTCCTCTTAACATTAGAGCCTAAATGCAATTCAGGGTCACCAACCCTGCTCTGAATTGCGACCTCCTGTGCTTGAACGGGTTGCAGATTCTCTTAATATTCCTCTAGAGTTGCGACTTGGTTTCAGAGCCATCCTTATCTAGAGGCAGGATCGTTGCAGGAAACTTTTCGGCTAACGTGCCAGCGGCCTTCTCTGGTCTGGGAGAATTGTGAAAATGTCCTTGACAATTGATGCAATCTTGGCAAACTCTAGATCCATGAGCCTTTTGGAATTTAATTGCATTATCATATTTTTGGATCGCCAGGTCAAGATTAGCCTTATGTACACGAAGAATGTGTGAATGACTGTAAATGTGTTCAAGGTAGCGTACGTGCTTCAACGTCTGCCAATTTCCGGTAATCAAACATCACATGTCAAAATGTCTCTTTTTCAATAGTCGATGCTGCCTTGACATTCTTGTAATTATTTATTATTAATATTGATAATGATTACGAAAAGCAAAATACACAATCTTATAATTACTCAGCAATGATCTGCCCACGTTTTGATTTCAGTTAAATATTTATAATAACCAAAAACGCAATGTAAATTAAAAAAAAAGTACCTCTGGTTAGTTAGTAACACGTCTTCTTTAGAAGACTCGCGTTTTGCTGCTATCATTGAAAAATAAATTTTTTTTCCAAGAAAAAAAAATCAATCAATTCGCATCAACAAAAAAAACCATAAAATAATTAATGATTCCTCGGCTAATTGCGGTTCCCATCTTTAATCAAAATCAAGGCAAGGTTGAAGAAAAGTTTCCAGAAATCAATAAAGAAGATCCTTTGTTTAAGGAACATTATTTTATTTGGAGAATGTGCTGCCTAATGTAAGTATTGATTCTGTTGCTTTTCACATATAACTATATATAAAACTTATTATAAAATTAAATTTGTAAAAACAGATTTAAATTATGGAATAGCAATGATTTCAATTCTAAACATCATAAAACATTTTCAGAAAGGATCTTTTGAATTCTTGGTACTGCATCAGATTTATCAGATTTTAGTTAGGGACTTTGTAATTGTGTGGTCCGTATGTAAGTAATGTTTATCATCTTTATATATAAATGAAGTTTCCAGTGTCTGAGTATCATTTATTTTAAAAATATAAAGAGCAATTTTTTCATCTTGTTCTTTTTCAAAATACTATAATTTTTGGTTTCATGTAAATGAGTTTCATATTAACTATTTAAATAATACAGTTGTGATGTTAAAAATTTTGATCCCTTGGTAATACCAATGTTCACTGAGTAAGTATTTTTGGTTGGTATATGGTACAATTACTAAAATTTTGATCCTTGAAGTTTCCCATATAATAATGACCATGTTCATTTATTCAATGTTAAAATTAATATAATAAATCTTTTGAAGGGAAATTTTTTTTAAATTATAAATAAATTAAAATAAAAAAAGCAACCGCCAATTTGTCCAAGAATTTTGATTCGCCACGATTTTCGAAAGATAAGTTATATCGTAGCTCTTAAGATATTTTTTGTTCTTCTTGCTATATCTTTAAACCTTGCTGTAAATGAGTTTCATATTAACTATTTAAATAATACAGTTGTGATGTTAAAAATTTTGATCCCTTGGTAATACCAATGTTCACTGAGTAAGTATTTTTGGTTGGTATATGGTACAATTACTAAAATTTTGATCCTTGAAGTTTCCCATATAATAATGACCATGTTCATTTATTCAATGTTAAAATTAATATAATAAATCTTTTGAAGGGAAATTTTTTTTAAATTATAAATTATAAATTATAAATTACAAAATAAAATAAATAAATAAAATTGTATATAATATAATCCATAACAAATCTTGAAAAATAAAAATCTTAATGATAGCTTTGAAATTAATATTTCATAAATTGTTTTTTTTATATTGCTGTATCATGTGTGCTTGTAAATACTTAAATTATTATTATCACAAGGGAAGAAATAAATAAAATAAATTAATAAATGTCATAATTCATAATTAAGATAATGATAGTTTTGACATAAATTTTTTTTATATTTCTGTATCGTGTGTTTGTGAATACTTAAATTATCACAAGGGAAGAAATAAATAAAATAGATTAATAAATGTCATAGTTCATAATCAAAATAATATTTAATTTAATTATTTGTATATTACCTTTTCTTTACAATTATAATGTACAACCACATTATTTGGGAAAACAGCAAATACACTAAAAAATTGATTAATATTCAATTATATTATTACTTTTTTAATTAATCAATAATATATGAAATACCTATTTCCAATACGTCTTGTACATTGAGGGCACATTCGATCTTCATCAATTTTGATTCTTCGAGATCGATAATACACCAATTGTTCTTCAGCCTAATAATATTTAAGAGTCATAGTAAATTAAATTAAAGCAATAATGGTCACATTCCTATATTCCTAATGTACCTGTTTTTGATCAGCTTTTAACAAATTTTTAACAATCATATTCATACTTTTGTTTCGATGACTTTCTCTAATGTATTTCTCAAAAAATGAATACAACTCGGAAACTTTTGTTGAAGCTGGAAGCATATTCAATGTCTTGTATCAATGTAAACAATAAAAATTATAATTATTATAGTTACTAATTAAAAAATCACATTTCTTGAATCTTTACCTCAATTGCATTCACATGTGATCCATAACGTGACAGTAACCTTAAAGCTGGTTCTATCATAACCTGCTCTCCTTTACTTGGATGTAAATATACTCTCAACAATGACATAAAAACATTTTTTGTACCATCATCAGTTACTTTATAATTTTTAACACAATACCTGTACAATATATATATATATAGTTTTTAATTATTAATTCTATTGATAAACTTTTTTTCAAAAAAAAAACTATGTATATTTTTTTTTTGAAAACATACTCTTCAGCCAATTGTTCATTTTTTAGTTTGTGCACATAGATACTCAATGCTTGATCATGTTGCCCAAGTCTACTCAATACAATTGCACGAGCATCATAAAAATCTATTAAATAGTAATATTATTAATAATATTATATTATATTAATATAATATATATATAATTATACCATTTAAAGGCAATCGTCCTAAAATTTTTTCCGCCTTATAATATATTGATTCATCCAAAAACTTTAATAGGTGATTATTAGTTACATTTATTGCTTCTAAATTTATATCTATTTAATAAATTGATTTAATATATACACATATATATGTGCTAATTATAATATAAATATATGTATTGTTGATTAATACCTGCTTGATTCTCATCGTTTTTACATTCTTGATCTTGATTTCTCAACTCCAAAATCTTTTTCAAATAAATCATTACCAATTGATTATGATAATCCGAAGCTGTCTCACCAAGTTCATAAATAATATGTCGTAAATATTTTATGCAAAGATCATTTGAGAAATTTTCTAAATATTTCAAGACTTGATCTCTTGGTAAATTTTGAACACCGGGAAGATCATCGATAAAAATCTAAAAAAAAATAAAAAAATAAAAATAAAATATACATAGATTATTTTCTTGCAACATAAATCATCTATAACTTGTAATGAAAAGGTAAATATTAAATCATACATCCATTCCATTTTCAGGATCATTCTCCAACACCCATGTAGCAAATTCCAATATCAATTCAAAATGTTCAATACTTAAACGTTGAAGATAAATTATAGTATGGAATACTCCTTTCATAGATCCTTCAGATGATTGACCAAGTCTATATGATTAATATATAACCAATGATTAAATATTTTAAATAAAAACTTATTTATTTATTTATCTAACAGCATATTTACTTCTTTAATAATTCTAAAGATTTTCGATGTTGGCCTTTTCCATGATATAAGTCAACTAATTCTTTATATTTCTATTATATAATAAACAATTTAAAAATTTTTTTTTTGTTGCAAGTGTTCAAATCGTAATAAGCATAATAAAATTTAGTTTTTTAATACCTTTCGTTCAAGTAAAATTCCTTCAGTTTCTTCAACATTTACATGATTATGTACACGAAGTAATGGTCCAACTAATGCATCATTGGTCATCATATAGGCTTTTAAAAGAGCAGTATCTACTATCTCTGCAAGTTCCAATATGTGATCTAAATTTCCATTGGTTAAACTAGTTCTATCAAACGATTGTGAATCGAGTGGTTTTTCATCATTTGGTTTATGAACCTGTTGATGATGTAATATTTTGGAAATCCTTTGCCGCCGATCAGTCAAAAATCTTATTAATGCTGAAATAGCATTTTTTAATTCCTTTCCTTCTAATGTCAAGAAATTTAAAAAAGATGACGAAAATATTAATTACAAATCATATATTTTAAGAAGAATAAATTTTTCTAATAAAATAACATAAACCTAAAATTTTATTTTCTTCAGTTCCATTTAAAACACGTTTATCTATCGGATCATTTTCATCTTCTGTTTGTGGTGTTATATTATTTTTTTCATTAAATTTGTTTTCATCATCATCCTCTTCCGATTTATGATGAAGGAAATTTGATGTAAATGATGAGTACAAAGCAATAACTTCTGCAGGATTAGTTTCCAAATCTTGAAAAATAGTCATTGCAGCATCAAAATTCTTGAGTTGAAAAAGATGATGTGCATAAAGATCACGTATTTGATAAAGTTTTGCATCCTACAAAAAAAAACAATAACAATAACAATTTTTTAATTGATTTTAAAAGAAAGATAATAAAAAGATAATATTGATCTTGATTTTTTTACCTTATTTTCAAGATGAAGAGGTTCGATTTGCTCAGTCAAACTTATTGCCTCTTGATATTCATGCTTTTCAACTAATTGATCAATCTAATATAATAATTGAATATATATATATCTATATATAAATTATTCAAAAAACTCGTAAAAAAAAAACTTACAGAAAGTAAATTAATAATACTTGATTTTCAAAATTTATAGGAATAAATCTCCAAACAGTATTATTATTAGCAATACATAAAGATTCTCCTTGATTAATAAGTCGTGGTTGTGGCAATTCTATTGTTTGTACTAATGATTGAGTAACTATGTTCCTGATTTCAACGTGTTTTGGAAGTATTGCTACAAGATAAGGATAAGAATATCCTAAAATAACAATTTCAATTAATATTAAATATATTAATATGCTTGTGTAAATAGATTATTTGAAGCTTTCAAACCTATTTCTTCTGGTGTCCCTGACCAATCAATTCCAACCTTACGAGTAGGTGTACCATCAAGACCAACAAAAATACTTACATCTAAATTGAATTTTTTTTTACAACTCAACAAATAAATCACCTGTCATCTCTCAAAATAAAAATTATAACAGTAATAATAAATTTAATACCCACTGTCTTTAGCCAAAAGAATTTCATCGTTTGGTAATTTTGTTATTAATGGTTTACTAACTTTTGCGCTGAATGATACTACCATATAACTGAAACCAGCATTAATAGGTGTACTTGATGGGGAAAAAAGCTCCCTCAAAACACCAGAACTAATATCCAACAAAGCATATTCATTAGCTAAACCAAGACAAAATGTTGTAGAACTGACCGAAACCATTGTCCGTATTCTATCAGGTATTGATATTTCCTAGAATAACATAATATATTTTTAAAGAATCCTGACTATAAATAATTATGATTAAACATATATATATATAACTATAAATACTTTATTATCAACAAATTCAGTATCTTTCCAAGTGAAAATAAGTAACTTCTTTTTTACAGCAACGGAAAGACGAGTCACTATTGTTGGAATTCCATTATCATCATCATCCGGACTTACTTCAATAGTATCGATTGCAAATAAATTAGCACCACGTGTTTTAGCTAATTGCTTTTGCAATGATAATGTGTGTAAATCATAGATACTGATACAGGAATCTTTGAGAAAATATATTTATAAATGTATTTATATTTATAATAATAAACTAAGAGTCAAATTATATGTTAAGACCACTTTCCAACATTAAAATCATAATAAATTCTTTAAAAGTTTTTATTGTGTAAAAAACCTGAAAGTGCAACCAATACATCAATCTCTTTTATCACATTTAACTGTTCAATTGATCTTTTTGAAAAGTTTTTGCGAGTTTCAATTAAATTGACAGATAAAGGTTTTTCTTCGTCTATGTTGCAAGAAAAAAATCAATTGGAATATAAAATAACATTATTAAAGTATATATGTGTATATAACTTATAAGTATTAAAATACCTAAAGATTCCTTGACTTCATATACAAATAATGAACCCGTAGAAGTCCCGATAAACAACTTTTGATCTAATATAATGCAAATTAAAGAATTTAAATTGATCTAGATAAAAAAAATTCATTAACGTTCTATTAATTTATATAATATACCGTAAGCATAAAGTGACTCTATTTTAATATTTAATTTGTCTAATGCAACAGATATTTTAAATGCATCATACATCTTTGAATTACAAGATTATTGAAAAGTTTGTGTATATTTTATATATATCGACTAACTATTCTAAGAAAAGAGAAAACTTGGATATTTTGGTTAATTAATATATATTCACTCTCGATTTTTGATCTATATATCTTTATTTGATCTCAATCAATTTCTACAGTATTACAAAACTGTCTCCTTTCTCTGTAACAAAAAAAATGAAATATAAAAAATTTCCAAAAATAAAAGATCAAACAAATATTTACTTTTTATCATTTTATTCACAGATGATGTATCACATCTATCAACATCTAGTGATAATATCCAGGAATCTAAAATTAGCACTTTTTTATAAAAGAATGACCATGGCTACCTGTAAATCTTCAGCATTTATGAGAGTATCTGTTTCATTTCCCAGATATTCTATTACTATTGATACTGCATTCCAAAAACTATTTCTCAAAATATTTTGTATGGTAGCAAAATTTGACAGACCAGAAGTGCATGATATACTGTTATAGAATCAAATTAATCGAGAATTAAAGATCTAGTTCTGGATTTGGAAGCAAAATCTTTTTGGTCATTCTTTGAAGATTAATAAATACTAATATAAAAGGCATAAAGGTCAAAGAATTTTGTCGATGATTTTACATGCCTGAAATTAAGTGAACAGCTCAAGGTTAATAAATGCTGCTAGAATTCGTGCATGTTTATATGGAAAGGGAGCACAGATTTTAGAAGATTGAGTCAAGGTAAAAAGAGAAGGTTTTCTTTCCTATTGATCAATTAAGAGATCTTGATACTTTTTAAGTGATGGAAATAATGTTACTATGAGCTCGTATAAAATTGATTCCTTCGACACATCATTGTCACCTTTATACTTTTGGAGAGTATGCTTACTTTTGTAAAAACTGTTAATTGACTGATGTAGAGAAATGTGAAGAATACCAAGATAAACTTTTATATCTCATCAGCTTTGTAAAAGATATTTAAACTCACAATTTAATACAGTACTATGTGAATTAAAAAATTATGGGACTGTCTTAGTTTATGGTTATAAAATGAAAATAGTCTGCCAAAATACAATACTAGATTATCTTCAGATGTCAGACAACTTATAAAAATATAGTTAAATATTTTTTTACAATTATGTATTATTTGTCTTTTTAACAAAGTAATATTGAAAACAAAAAAAACCCGTGATAATATTTTATATTGTTGTTTGATTATAACTTAACGTTAAAAGTCAAAGTCAGAATCAATAGAATTGGGGAGGAAAAGAAGCCCTTTGTATGACAATGAAGCTAGTGAATTCAGGAAATCACCAATCCATTGGTTGCGTCAATTTTTGGTTTTTCATACAGTATTATTGTGAATGTCAAACATTGATGATGAGCCTAAATTGATTCTTTATCGATATGGAACTGGCAAAATTATTAATAAAATCCATTGTATATTTGATTTAAATGAAGATTACTAATATTAACTTTTTATTTCAAATGTATTTTCGCATTACTAAATTGTCTAATGGAGGAGACTAGTTTCATAGTGCCACCAATATTGGAACTGAATAATTGAGGAGGGGTTTAGACAATCATCTAGAACGAGACAACTCTTGAGCAAACCATATTCAATGGAGAGTAACTGCTGTTACAAATTTAATCAAAAATTAAAGGAAGCAAGCATTTACATCGCCGTAAATCATGCCGGGAATGTGGTTATGCCGATTACCATATTCACTGGCGGTGAACTCAGGTGGTTATTGGAAAATCCAACTATTAATGCTTATTTATTACTGCACCAAATGTATCAAACTTGCTCTCCCAAATTTTCATATTCTCATCACCTTGAGTATTCAAAATCACATTCATTTATCCTGCCAGTTATGCTAACTGGGAACAGTTGGTACAGGAGTTAATTCTCAGAGAAAGAAGCAGTATTGCACAGTTGGAATAACTAATGAATATCGTTCCTCGCAGACTTGTGTATAGACTAGACTTGCAGGATCCCATACAATTATCAATGGCAAGATCATTAGTGTCAAAGTACGTGGTGCTATTTGAGTGTATCGTGCATTTCATTCGAGTGTGGTGACCACACTATAAAGCCTCAGGAACCTTCATTCAATTGCTATTGCTGGTGTATTCCAGGCTATTCTCAGCTTCTCATTCCATTTTAACTCAAAAACTTATACACTCGCACCAACAATCTATACCAGTCAATTTATACTGGACATTCAAAACACTTCAACACTCTCAATATCAAAAAGATCCAATGGATCTTTCCTGGTCAGGGAGATTTAACAAATTGCTGACTGTTTATTATATGTTTTACTTGTTAAGTTTCGTGAAGTAGTAATTTTATTTTTGAAGATGGCCCTGATTAAAGTTGTTGAATGACGTATGGATTAATAACATTGATCCAGAATTATTTTCGATAGAACTAATAGAATCACCATCACACCAGATAATAAACAAATTGATCCCAACTAAATTACTAACAGGTAAATAAATAAATTGCCTGAATTAATCATAATGATATTAAAGTAATTTTTATTATTATAAATTTCCAAAGTTTAAATAAAAATAAAAATTTTAATTAGAAAAATATATTAAGTGAAAGATAGTTTAAAATTGACAATTATTAGTTTTTCTTATCATTATAAAAGCTGACGATACGATTGAATTTTGCCGAAGAACTTTTTAATAGGTGAATTATCATTATCTAGTTTTATTCGATTCTGGTGGATTTTGTCCAAACTCTTTTAATATGGCTTCTTGAAGTAACCAAAACTCTCGACTCTGAGCTGCTTCTTGCTCGTAATTACGATTGACACTAACGTTCACAATACTACCTGAAGAAACGCCAGGTGGAAGTAGAAGCGAGGGAAACTCGATGAGGTGATGATCCTCTGTCAACAAGATTGCCTACATTTAATAATTTATTTAATTATTTATTTGTGGTGTTATAACTTATACATAATTTTTTTACTTATACTTTACCATTCCAGCATCAAGTTTTCCCACAGTAAATTGAACAGATGTCGAAGATGTTGAAGTCATTCTTTTCCTTTGTTAAATGTTAAATAATGTTAAGTTTAAAAAAATACATAATTGTAACAGACATAGGTCGCAATTGGTTAATTTGATTTTCATGTTCGTCTTGTAACACAAAATTTTCAGTATAATATTTTATTCAAAAATTGGAAAAGGGATAGTAAAAGACTTGATTTTTAAAAGTTATTGAAAGATTGAAAGAAATGTTTCTGGGTAATAAAGAAAAAATTTTTTTTTCACCTGACGATATATGTTCAAAGATCTTCAGATGCATGCCGAAAATATATTCCTTCTCTTGAACAAATTAAATTATGGATATATCTAGAATTATAAATAAGTTGCACGAAAATGTATAATCGACAATTCTGCCCAATTAACGAAAGAATACAACTCAACCAAATCAGTGCAATATTTTGGTAATATTTAGAAAGAATTGGCAACGATACTATCTCTCTTTGGAAATTTTCGAAAGAAAAGGAAAATTTTCGTTCCTCAAAATTGATTGCGTTGTATAAATCTTTTGATCATGATTATAATCATGATCACCCTCCCAAATTTTTTTAAAACGTTCAGAGGTTGTATTTATAATAAGTAAAAAAAAAATACGAAAAAGAAATCACTTGATTAAAATCGAGCCTTTTTCAAAAATGTGTTGTTAAGGATAGGGACCATTTTTATAAATTATATGGTCAAAAAATTTCGTGCTACATGTGATATTTCAAAACAAATTGACGATCATTTTTTATTTATCCATTTTTATTAGTAAATTTATCTATTACTATTTTAAAAAATATTTCCAATTCCCTTCTTTTACTTTATCTTCTGCACCTTCACATATACCATCAATAAACATGTTATGAGAAAGATGATGTTTTCCACTAATAAAATTTTTAGTTTTTGATAATTTTGAAATAATATTATCCCTTAAACGAAATTGCGGCCAAATCTGGCCGCAATTTGCAATTGTGATTCAAAAATTACAAAAAAAGGTATTTTCCTGCGGTCTCACCACAACCTTTCTTATTTGATAAATGATATTCAAAACACCCTACTTTAATTAAAAAAATTTCGTTTGGGGTTACATATTACAAATAAAGAAATAATATAAAAATTCCTTGAAATTTTCTTTGCTGATCATTTTATTATAAAACAAAATTCCGACGGAATTTGAAATCCTATGGAATACTAATTAAAGGACATTTCTAAAATCATTATTGTTAATTAACTGCTTATTTTTATTGATCTTTTTTGTGTTTTAGAAAATAGACATAATAAATTATGGAATTAATACTACATGTGGAATTGAAAACTCCCGAGTTTGTAAATCCAAATCCTTTAATGAATTCATACTAAATTTATTATAAATGCCAGAAGTGTAAGAGACTTCAGACAAGTAAACTAAATCAAATACTCCAATAAAAATCAAATAATTTTAAATTTAACAATTAATTTTAATTTCCTGAAACAACTATTTTTTAATAACAAAAATCAAAATGAACCAAGGACAAAATGCTAATTCTTGATTCCGACGATGGATATTATATTGCTAGTATTACAAGAAGATGAGGTGGGTTTTATGATAATGAGTTATCTGAAATTGTTATGTAGATTTCCACACAAGAAGAGAAAGTTAATGTTTTGTTAATTATTCATTTTTTTTATTTATTTATTTATAATTTAATTTGGTTACACGATCTTATGTAGTAATTTATATTAAAAAGTCAAAAATTGTAGCCTAAATTGGCATCATTATTCTAAGTAAACTTGTTAATTAGAACATATATGATTACATATCTTACAGTTTTGGGCCTGGTTTTAAATGATGAAATTTTTTACTAATTGCAACTTTTCAAAAATCCAAAAATTAATTTTTTAAAAAAATACATTTATTTCAGTACTAGTAAAACTTCAACAAAAGAAATAAATTTATTAAAAATGAATATTTATACATAAATTTTATAGCCTTTTCCATCTAAAGTCAAAAAAAAAAATGGAAGTCAGTTAGTAATTTTTTTGTTTATTAGGGGTCTACATTTTTTTAAAAATTGCAGCCAAATCTGGCCGTAATTTCTGTTCATTTAAGGGATAATCTAGGAATGCAAAGCTGTTAATTGAACATATAAAGTTTCGTCATTAATATAATCAAAAGAATTTATTCAGTAGAGTTTAGCATTGTTTTCGTCAAATTCTTTCTTTTTGGGATTTCAAGTGCCAAAGAAATAACTTTATTAAACATGTTTATTTACATTGTGGATTTAGCACATTGTTTTTCTTCATTTAATTGAATAAACAAGTCTTGATTTCTAAATGTAAAACCAATTATTTGCAAATCTTCAACTTCATTAGTGGTAGTTCTGATCTTTTTTAAATCATTCGTATCCTCTACAACATTTTCTTCATTCTGTAGGTACAACATAACATTACTAAAAAATGTCCACTATAAAATTCAAGGCACCATTTTTATACCAAGTCAACTTCAAATTATGTCAACCTCATTTAAAATGATAATTTATCTGTTTTACACTTTTGACCAGCCAAATTGTCAGTAAACATGAGGAGATCCAAGTCATCATCTAATGCATTGTTTTCAAAGGTAATGTGAAAGAAAGTTAAACAAAATCAAAAGTTTTTTTATTACCTATATCATCATAATAATGAGTTGCAATGTATAGCAGTTACACCATCATTCTTTTAATAATAATAACACTTGCCATGATCTCCTAGTTTTCTTCCATTGTTTGGGAAAATTATTACAAAAAAATATTATTATTTAAAACTGGAGTGACAACAAGTAGTGATAACCATCACCATCCTTACAATAAACACTTGCCCAGAAATCTCAGTGATTTCTTTTTCTTTTTCTCTTTTTAAATTGTGTGGCATGTTTATAAAAATATATAAGAAGTTTGTTGTTTGATCAATGTGTACACATTAATTATTTATCCTATTGGTTTTTTTTTTGGGAGGCAGACACAAATTGTTTTTTTTTTTTTTTTGTAAAATCTAGGGTACTTTTTTGCGATATACAGTACCTTCTAAAATTTAGTATACGATTTTCAGCATAGTTGAAAATCTTGTGATTGGTTGATCAATATTTTTGTTTCACGTAATTGATAATCCAATAAAAATTAGCCAAATATTTTTAAAATTTTGTTATTTATAAATTTATTAATTCATTAATTTATTAATTTATTTATTATTAATTTATTAATTTATTAATTCATTAATTTATTAATTTATTTATTTATTAATTTATTAATTATTTTTTCGAATCAAATTAAATTAAAGTTGAACTATATTATGAATTGGAAGTCTGTGAATGTTTGTGAGGTCATAAAATATTTGCTTATTCTCTGCAAAGGCTTTTAGTAGGTGTATAAATAATAAATTAGATCAATTTTATTACATATAATTATAAATTTTTGAAATATATATACCTAATATCCTTTTTTGCAATTGATTATCAATTCCAGGTAGAGATATAATATGGTCTGCATCTTCAAAGTCTGGATTTGTGTTTTGTATATTATTTTCAGAAAATAATTCATTATTTATATCCTCTTCCATGTGCAATCTTTGATTGTAAGAGCTTGTTAACTCATCAATTGCTTTAGATAAATACATGAAACAATAATGGCACCTT